TCTGACGAGCTTTTGTCGTGGTCTCCCTTATATATGCTCGTATCCGTAGGAGTAGGTGGTAGTACATGGTGGTGAAATCTGGCACAAGGCAGAGTTTGAGTCTCCTGGCGTAATTGGTAATTCTGTCGATTCACATCCTTTCCTAGTAACAGTGACTTTTTCCGAGAAAAGACGTGTGACAATGCCTTTATAGTTTAATTATCTAGTCTGGTGTTCTCTACGCTTTTTACAATGACCTCAGCATGTTATTTTATATTAATTGCCTACTTAGTTATATCACCACTCATAGTTGAAACGTACACTATGTCTTTAATATTAATTGGGGTACGTAACAGTGCGTTGGATTCAAAAGAGTGAAGTATTATGTTTTTTGTTATGGCCAAGTTATTGCAAGCAGAACATTTAGCCATAAAACCAAATTGATTATTTACGAGGAATGGAGAGCAAAAATTGTTCAGTTTTTATGAAATTAAATGGGAAAATAATTTTGGGATTTACGATAATTTAGAGATTGGGYGATAATTTGAAATCAGTGAAGAATTACCTTTTTTTAAAATAGGGGAAATAAATGACGTTTTCCAAAGAGATGGATATACCTTTACTAAGAGACAAATTAAATAAATTGGTTAATACTGGTGTTAGGATAAATCTACAGTTATAGAGAAAAAATAGTAGGTATGCCATCTGGGCCTGTAGTTGAACTTAATTTTAAGWTGGAAATCGTATTTAAAACATCAAGTTCGGTAAGAGTAAAACTATTTAAATTTATAGTAGAATTAAAGTTAGAGTCATCTAAAATTAAAGAGGGCAATTAAATGGTTGAGAAGGATTAATATAGGCATCAGAGAAGTATTTACCGAAGAGCTCAACTATATCAGTTCCGTTACCGGCAACAGTTGCGTCTAAGGAAAATGAACGGGGTAGAGCTTCATTGTCGGTGAAATTATTAATACATTTCCAGAAATATTTTGGATTATTTCTAATACAGGACTGAACTTTATTGATATAATTTTTATGATCAGATTTAGCGTGTCTTTTGCATTTAGCTCTTATATTATCGATATTGTCAAATTTAAATCTATTAATAATAAAAAAATTGTTTTTTAGCGTGTTTCAAAAATGTTGATGACGAACAAATAGTTACATATAAATCCTCCAATGACGCCACACAATCACAGACAGTTTTTGGTGAGTTAAATATAAACAAATGTAATATTTAATTAAGGGTATGCAAATCAGTTATACCAAAATATACGATATGACTTTTAATACACCATAACGACCACATGATCGAAGTCATAAAATGTTTGAAATTAGATTTAAATTTATTAGAAACCGATTTGTCTCAATGTTTTATTCTGTACGAAGTGACAAAAGTAATGGCTTTACAATTATTTATTTATTTATGAATGAACGGGTTAACAGCCCAATAGTACAATACAATTTGTAGTAATGAAAATGAATATTATAACTATAAATAGATAAACGCCAAACAATACTTAGCGATTATACAAATAAAATAAGAMAATAATYAAACAAAGGTAAAAACAGTAATAAGTAATAATAGATTAAGTATCAAAATTAAAATCAACAACAAAATAGAACTTCCTAAGAGAAGCATAGGTGCTCATTACAAATGCGCATCATACGATGGATTGGATTATTTCTACCATAGTTGGTGCTGTGGAATGGAACAACAATGAGAGAATTAGACCTTATTAAGCGAGAGGGAACTTTAAAATTAATTAGAGAAAGGAGATCAGCTTACGCAAAAATACCAAGTTAGMATTAACTCTTCTGTCTGCCAGGGACAAGAGTCCAAGTTTATTCATCACTGGCCAATAATCATGTGGATGTGGAATTCGTAAAATAAATGACGCCGAAGAACAAAAACGCCTCTGGACCCTCTCAATACAAGAAGAGTCTGCTGCCGTAAAAGGGTCCCACAAAATGRAAGAATATTCTAAAAGAGGCCTTACAAGGGAGCAATATAAAGCTTTGAGAGAACTAGAGAGCCTAAATTCTATAGAAGTGCGCATGACAAAGCCGAGCATCTTTAATGCA